CAAAGCCCGGTCCTCCCCAGGCACTGACCCCTTACTCATCAAAAGTCAGGGCCCGGCCTAAAATCGGGCGAGAAGAAAGGGACGCGCCCTCAGCCACAACAAGGAGCCTGGGGCCTCCGACCCGGAGCCATCGTTGTCTGGGCCCCATCCACGTCACAGCCAGGCCACTCTAGCATGGGGACATTAGCCAACGTGGACAGGAATTTATGTGAAACACACACCCATCCTATTAACTGCTTTACAGAGCACTTCTGTTTTTCAGCTGCAGAAACTTATAAAAACATCCCTTGCTCTCCACTGAGAGTTTAAGGACAGAATTTTTCATGGGAGAGAAAGAAAGAAATAAGAAAGAGAGGAAGAAAAGTCGCAGTTGGCAATTAAACTTAGTCTCTTTAACAAGACTCACCACAGATAAGACACAGATTGTGCCCTTTGTAGGGAGGGTCTACCACCCGGGTCAAATTTAATGTGGCCACCAGAGTTGGTCAAAGCAATTGCTGGACACTTTTATCTCTCCCCAGGTTCACCTCCATTCTGACAAGCAAAGGCAGCACCAGAGAAATCTCACCGGAAGTGCCCTGTCCTCCCTGCCAGAATCCCATGCTCAGTCTGAATTTACTCCCCTTTCTATTAGCAGAGAGAGGCACCTGCTTTTACCCTTTCTGAAAGCCACCCACCCAGGCTGGCCCCACAGCCTTGAGAGTCCTTTCTGACTGCACAATAATGAACCATGCAAGCGTTAGAAATATAATAAGCTCACGAGGCGAAGAGCTGTATGTATGGAATTGTATTAGTATTAAGCACACACTGATGCGGGCGGAAAAGGGTGATGAAAACTAGAAGGTGTTTTGCACAATGTAATTCCCATTCAAATTAACGTAACTATCTTACCTGCTGGGGACAGACAACCCCTGTCTATGTTTTAGTCCAAAAGAGAAACTCCAAAAAAAAAAAAAGCTTTTTTTTCCCCTCCATCTAGGGCCCAGGGAGAAAAGACTGCCTCTAGGGAATCATGTCCGATTAGGGACAAAGGAGAGCACAAGCCAAATTCTGTCACACATGAGAGAGTGAGGGGGCGGAGAGGGGGACTGGAGATCGAAAAAGGAAAGTGGAGGATGATTCTGTAAACCAGAGTGTGGCCACTGCAGAGCCGGCTGCAGACCGCCTGACTTCAGGCCCAAGAACAGGTGGTGTTTTCAAAACACACCAGTATTTATATTAGCCACATGAGTCAAGAACACCTTAAAGAAAACCAATTAATAATTTAATTGAAAAAGTGACTATGAATAATACATGAAGATGATGATGCTAGCAATAACTCAAGTAACGTGGCACACACGACTCAGAGATGTCTCTGGAAACGTCTTCAGGAGAATGAAGACTCCAGACCCCCACGTCTTACCTGGAAGCAACCCACGGCCCATCAAACAAATGAAACACAATACAAAAATGTTTATACTCCCAGAAAATCTAATTTTGCTGCTGTGTCTTAACTTTTATTAACAGGAGAAACCCTCCTCATCCAGTGACATCATGAGACTAGTGGGCCAATGGATAAATATCTCCAATAAAATAGAAGCTAGAAAGCCCCAAGAATCAGCTATAAAGCGCCCCAGAAGGATGTGGAGGCGCTGGACAGAAGGCCCTGAGGGGATCTGTCCTGAAACTGTCCTGAAACTGCAGACACTGCCATCTGCCCCCTGCACCTAGAGGCCTGCCGAGCAGGAATAGGAGTGACCCTGAGACCCCTCCCTTATCTTAATCCGGCACCAAGTTCCACACTCGGGGAGGCCTGGTCAAGTCTGCCTTTCTTACAGGCACAAATTTAACAGGTACTGCATAGGCAGGTTGGCTATGGCCTCTGTACCACTGGAAATATAAAGGATCACAAAAAAGCTGGGGTGTTACCTGTACCAAGACTTGTTTTCATCACTAACCAAAACAGTATCTCTTCAGAGTGATTTTGCAACTTCTGCACTTTCATATGGAATCAACAGTTTCTCTGACATACATGTTGCAAATTCTGTCCTCTGCCTTTGAAAGGCCCTGGCTCTTCCCAGAGCAGCTGCCTCACGTGGCCCCCACAGCCCCTACCCACTGACAGCCCGGCACACTGCTCACTCCGTCCTGAACGCTGTTGACAAATAAACCCACTCTCAGAAAAGGCAGTTCTTCCCTTCCAGTTCTCCATAACTTGTCTCATCTCATCTGGAAAGCGTAACTGGCAACAGCCAAAAGGATAAATATTTAAAAATAAATCAGGGAATGCTAACCCCTTCCCTTCTCCTCCCCTTAGCCACTCTCCAAGCCAGAGGCCAGCCCCCTAACGCTTACTTAGCTGGCTGGTAAATTACAAAGATCCCTTCCGAGCCAAACTGCCTTGTCTCTCCCCCAACATACACACTCACTCTCCAGTGCCGCTCCTTTCACTTCAGCAGAGGTAAATATGATCTCTGAGCGAGGATACAGCAAATATCAGCATCCTGACTTCTAGCTAAACCTGGGCTCTGTCTTCACAGCACAACTGGGTTTAGGTGGATTTGTGTACTCTTCCAGACCCTTCCATTTTTATTAAATTATACATAAACATTGATTTTAAAACTAGTGCTTAAATAACCTTGAGGCTTTAACAAAGAAAAAGCCAGAAGAGGGCACAAAACAGAAGTCCCTGAAATAAACAAGGAAACATTTGGAGCTGAATTGCACTCCGTGCCCTGAATTCACCCCATTCTTTCCAGGGGCCTGGTACATGCTGGGTGGCCAGGCCCTCCTAGGTAGGGTTTTCCTCAGAACAGCCCACACTCACCTTCATAACCATCAGAGGTGGTGTGCCAAGGCCTAACAGATGTTCTGATTCACATTTCCCTGTCACAAACCTCAAGGCCTCCATCTCTCGCAACAATGCTAATTCCATAGATTAAATTTTACCCCCAAATTGTGGGTGGAATGTCATCTAGTTTACCTGCCCACCCTCCCCTGCTCAGGCCCTAAATCTGTCAATGACACACCTAAGAGACACAAATAAGTAACTGGTTTTTTTTTCAATTGTGACTGGGGAGAGCTTTCCTCAATACATTTTAAGTTATAGAACCCAAGTTTTCAGAAAGCTAAAATAAAGAACTTGCCTTAAAATAGATTTCAAACATTAGGTCGAGAGCTTGCTCTCTTTCTTTTCTTTAAACAAAAATATTATTTCTGAAAGGGCAAAGAGAATTTGCCATGCAAGACTTTTATACCCAGGGGAATTCTTACATTTGTGTCTCTAAACCTTGAAATTGAGAACTGTAATGAAAAGGCAGGCAGATGCTTAAGGACAGCGTCGCAATCAGGGCCCACACGTCACAGGAGAGAGGTGCTTTGTCTGGGGCCAGGAAAAAGAGGTGGACTCCTGTTCTGTCCGTGGGCCATCCCCACGGTCTGACACATCCCTCTCCACTCAGCCTGATGCAAACCACTGAATTCTTGGAGGGGAGGCAGGTTGGCGGAAGAAGAAAGGAAAAAGGAGGCAGGAGAGGGAAGAAAAGGGGGAGGGAATATGGCCTCTTTGTATAAATCGTAGTTTTTAAAAAATTCTCAACGCAGCATCAATTCCACAGTATGCACCAGTAGTTCCCCCACATGTGCATTAAAACAACCACCTAAACGATACACCAGAAGCACAATAACCAGGGTCAGATTTTTTCTTTAATGAAGAATTTCATTTGTGTTTGCAGTTCTCCTCCTACAACCGACCACTTCTTGGGGCAGGCTCCTAAGAGATAAACAAAAGATGACCCTTTTCACACTTCCCCTAGATGATTCCAGACTCCCATTGTCTTATCTTTCCCTTTTAGTGCATTTTTGTTCGAAATCTGTGCTAATCTCACTTAAGAGCCCCAAGCTGAAATTTCACATCTCCTCCAAGTCAGCCAGTGTTTTGAGAATTTAGATTTCTATTGAGGCCGTTCCAATCGCCAGTGAGGCCTACGGTAAAATGCGCTTGCTTCATGCTGTTCCGTTTGTCTCTCTGTAGACAAATAGAAACTGTGAAATTTCAAAAATGGATGGAAAAAAAAAAACCTAAAACAAAGAAGTTAAAAAAATAGGACAAATGTTTTTGCTTTTGTGTCTCCCTGGAGCAATTGTTTGGGGGAGTCTGCATTGACAATAACCATGAGAAGGCCATCTAAAGGCGATGCGCTCACAAGGGGACTCCTTGCCTGCTGCCTTTGGTCTGGGAGAAAAAGCACCTTAGCTCCGTTCTCCAGGAACAAAAGGCCAGGGCCACGGAAGGGGGGAGAGGTTACTGGGGCTTTCACAAGGAGCCAAGTGTCAATGCAGGTTCATTTTTCACCCGTCTTAGTTGGAAAGCAGCTCAGTGAACTTCCTAATGACTGCTTTTCCCTCTCTCCCTATTATTTCTAAACCTAAAAGAACACAACAATAATATTTTTTTTAACCTAAAGCCTGTCATCCTATTAGAGGAAAGCCTCGGGGGCCCACACGTAGTTTTTTCCTCCTTCTTCTCCCCATCCTACTGTTTTTTTTGGAGGAGGGGGGATTCCAATTCTAGATCACATGGAAATTAGAAACACTAGACATTACGGTCATTTTTAGTAACACCAGGATGGCCTTTATGCCTACAAAAAGACAGGGGCAGAGAAACAAAAGGAGAAGAAGAAAAAAATAAAAAAACTGAATAGGGATAGAAGGTGGAGGGGGAGGCTGTGGGGCAACGCC